TTTGCTGGCTCAGATTGCACGGATGTTGATGTGGTTGCGACAGACTCGGTTGTGGTTGAAAATTCACCTTTTTGAGATACTGTTGTGGAACTTTCGGTCGTATAGCGTGAAGCATCAGAATTTGTGGTTGAAGGTGTTTCTCCAGAAGTAGTGGTGAAAATATTTGCTGCCTCTGTTTTCAATGATATATGAGTTGTTGTGTCGGATTCGGTTGTGGTAGAAAGTTCTCTTCTTTCAGATGTTTTTGTGGAAGTATCAGTCGTGTGGTGGGACACATCAGGATTTGTTTTAAATTGAGTTTCTGTGGGGAAAGTGGTGGGATTATTTGTAAGCTTTGTAGTGAAGGATGTAGACGTGGTTGTTGTAAAAATTGTGGAGATTTCTTTGCTGATAGATCTTGATTCTTCAGTTTCTGATGAAGATGATGACTCGCGGAGCTCTTCAGTTTCAGTTGACTTCTCTGAGATTTCGGATTCTGAAGACGTTTCTGATTTGTACTCTAAAGTTTCATCAATTTCTGATTCTGAAGATGTCGAGCTTTCTGACTCAGAAAATTCGTTAGTTTTGTATATTGTATTTTCGTCAGTTTCGGAATCTGAAGAGAGCGAAATTTCAGATTCAGACTCCGAAATCTCATCAGTTATGTACTGTGAGCTTTCATCGGTTTCGCAATTTGAAGATTTCCAATTTTCACAATCGGATGATTCGTCAGTCTCAGACTCTGAACTTTTATCAGTTTCAGACCCAAGACCCAATTCCCAACTTTTAGACTCTGAAGACTCCCAACTTTCATCTGTAAAATCGCTAGAACTGATTGATCCGCTATTAAATGATATGTCACTATCAGCAGTTCGAGATTCAGACTCGCATGATACAACACTCGATTCGCTATAGAACGAAGAATCACTGTAGCTCATATCAAGTGATTCGGAATTGCTCATTGTGTCACTCGTTTCTTCGGACGCTGACCACACATCACTTGCATCGGAATCTTCCGAACTGAAAGTAGTACTCCTACGCTTTCGAGCGCCATGGAACACGATGAATTTTTCACAATATGCCCGCATTAGTCGGTTCTTCACAGTTTGCTCGCCTAATACTGTAAACATTTTATCGCATTCTGCTCTCTTACAGTACTCCAATTCTTTTCCGATTTGTGCCTTTTGTAATAAGAATTCTTTATTTGCGATATGTTTA